AGAAAAATAATGATTGTTATTGTTGAAAAGTAAGTTATTTTATAAAAAGACTATTTTGTGGCAGCATTTACTGATAAGTACTGACGCACACATGTAACATCTTATTTTCTGAGATTAATATTATAGAAATTTTCTTTCAAGGCCAACCCTTTGAACTCGCTTTGACAGTGTTCTCAACATCCATTTTCAATAATTTTTTAAAGAAATGGCTAAACAAATTGCTATAAATATGCATTTTATAATGGGCGAATCAGAAGATTTTTTTCACATATGGATGATTATAACTATATTAGTAAAGTGGCTTGAAAATATACATTAAAAACACAGGCATATTTACTAAGCCTGACATTCACATGGTTATTTGCAATCCTTATTATTGACTTCCTTCTATTCCATCTAAAAATAAATCAGGTAGTTGGGTTTAGGCAATACTCCGATGACAGAAAACAAACACGATTAGAGCAGCGTATTTTAGAATAGGATTATTTCAAGGATCTTCAAAAAACAATTATTTAAAAAACAGAATTGCTATTCTTACAATACTGTGCATCCCTTTAGGAACCGTATTGAAGTTATAAATTATTTACAAGCATAACATAATACAACAGACACAATAAAATAGTATAAAATAGACAAAGAATTCCATTTTATAGTATTGGGATTTGTCTGGTCTACATGTATATGTCATATAAAAGGATTTCACAATGTCCATTCCCATGACATAGTAAATAGTGATGTAAAGAAAAAGTAGCCCAAGGTAACAGGGAGGCATTCATTCTATGAGGTCACTCTACTTAAGTTGCAATTATATTAACATTCACATAGTGTGTACAGGATTTGTTTAGACTTAGACAAATGCTTTCTACATTCTACAAACATTTTGCCAATGGCCAAATATGAATAAATAGTGGCACTGGGTACGTCTGCATATACTGACATCTATTCTCCATAGGTGGCTTTGCTGATTTTGGCAGCACTAATGATATCGAGTTATTAACTCCTGGGCTCAGAGAGGTAAGCAATTCAATCATGATTTACTACTGATTCCCAATTCTGACTACAAAAACCGTAGAATTAATAAAGACAAATATTTGTAGCTGGGTTGGTGCTCAGAATCTTAGAATTGTGGCATACAATAAAGAAGCAAATATTTGTACAAAAGCAAATACTTTTTCTATAGTGCAAATACTTTTTTTTTATGGTGCCATCATTCCTCCTGCAATGATGGACTGAAATAATGACTGATATTTCAGACAGAGAACCTTCAGACAGTTACTCATGCCCTGGTCACCTCACAACTGGCATATTGCAATGTGTGTATACAGGGCTGCTCTTGAAGATCATCTGAAAAGATAGCTGGTACAAAATGCAGCACTGCAAGCAATAGTAGTAACATCATGATCTGTCTGTGCTCATACGCTCTACTGCTATGTTGGTGGTTGCCAGTTAGCTTCCAGGTGCAATTCAAGATACTGTTACCTATAAAGCCCTTTACAGCTTAAGGATCGCTGATCTCCAACTATTTCTGCCTGGCAGTGGGAATGCTCCAGGCTCCTTCTATTATATGATGTCATCTTATGAGACTAAAGAAGCTTGCCTTCTCTGTTGTGATCCCCATCCTCTGGAACAACATCTCCCCAGAGATAGGGACAGTATTTTCCCTCCTGGGAGTTCTAAATTGTCCTTAAGATCTGGCTTTGGTCTCAGGCTTGGAGTTACTGTAATGTGTTGGTAGGACAAACCTGGTTTGTCAGGATGATATATGTTTTTAACTGCATTTATTGTTTGTGTATCTGTAAACTTCCTAGAATCTGAATCAGAGGTGGTATTCAACTGGTTCTCTCTATTTCGGGCAAACCAGTAGTGGCGGCTTCATGAGGCTCCGCCCACCTGCCCCAACATAATGCGCGAGCACTGTGCATACACAGATTTGCAAACTGGTAGAGAAGGTAAGTGAATCCCACCCCTGGCCTGAAGGTCTTTTGGCTATAATACATTTAAATAAATAATATTTGGCTTGTGTTGGCAAATGGAAATTTAATTCTTCTCAACTGTTCCCCCTCCCAGTCACACAGAGAAACTCTGCTTTGGTGGTGCTCAAAATACTTGAGCCAAAGAAGCAAGTTCAGAGAATAAAATTTTTCTTAAATATATGAAGTGTCTGTGAAAGTGGAAACCTTTGAGTATTTAAATACTTCTCTTTAGTGTTTAAATTACAATATTTTATTGCTGATTTGATGCTTAATCTGAGAAATTACTGATTGCTTTCTCAGTTCCTCTCTTTTCATTTTTGTTTTCTGGTACCTAATTTCTTTCTAGAACAAGAATGCTAAAATGCTAGACATAATTACATAATTACAAATATTTTTTAGATGGAATTTTAAAGAATTTTACAAAACCACATTTACTATTCAAAAGATAAGAAGCTCCATCATAAATCAAATCAGAAAAATTTTGTGTTTTAAAAATAACTGTCATTTTTGGACATCTTAGAGGCAAATACCTTCCAATAATAAAATTATGATGTTAAGAATCCATAAATCTTCCCTGGCCAGTGAGCCAGGTTTTGGATAACTTATTTGATATTGTGATTGTATGAGTCATTCTGAATGCAATATTTTAAAATACTTTTCACTTATAGATTGTTTAATTGCCTGGCAGCCAACCAGAGTCATGTGTTAAACGGAAAGGTATACATACACATTTTTAAAAAATGTTAATAAAATTTGAAATCAAATTTTTGCTCTGGGTAGTAATTAATTCATATAACTAAGAGATACTACACTGCAGAAAAACTATTATATAACCAGTAGGCATTTAGATTATTATCTATATATTTGTTTACTAGATTTAATAATTTGCGCTCATTAATTATTTAGATTTGTGAATTAGCCCAGAAACTCCAATTTTGGTTGCTGTCTTCTGGGCTGGCTTTGGTCTACTCCAGACAATTTTGGCAACATTAGCCTGCTTTTTTTATTCCACAAAACATCCAATAATATCAATGTACACTAAATTGCAAAGGAACTCAGGACAATGGATCATTATCTCTAGTGTTTCTGTTTATTAATGTAGCAACATCTATGCTGTCCCAAATTATTGGTGAAGAAAAGCTCAGAAAAGTATAGGTTTCAAAATCAGTTTGTGCTGAAATGGGCAATGAGTGATGCATTTTGGAAACAGGTCGCAAAATTATAGCCTATTTAATTTAAATTTGTTCATACCTCCTTCTCTAAGCAATAATGATTGCAAATGAATTTCTTAAAATTATTTTTAAATTATTTTTGTCCTATTCTGTTTCCTATTTTACATTCATCTCCAACATTCTGTATATTTATGAAAATAAAGGGGTAAAATATGGTACATTTATTTCTAACTCCATTAGATTTCTCTGTTAAATTTAAACCCATGGTCTTTGAGAGCTGGGCAGCATAGAAGTTTAAAAATTAGCATTAGGAAAAAATTAGTCAGGATTGATATTGAGAATGGCCTTTTAAAATAATGGGAAGATTGGCAGTGATCAATTTAATTGGTTTATTTTTCACAAAATCATAGTTCATAACAGGATCAATCATTTACGAATACTGTATCTACCACCCTCTTTTTTGCATTAAATGGTGCTGTGACTAACCAAATAACAGTGTTAAATAAAACAAATGAAATAGTATTGTCACTACCATGGTAACAACAACACCATAGCTATCAGAACGTATGTACTTGTGGAAAGAAATGGAAACTGCTAACGACAACCTCATTTTGTTTCATTGTAAGGGAATTAGTCAGCCAGCAAGTGATGGAAATGTACATGGAAAAACAGCTCATAGGGAGGAAAGTCCTTGCATAATGGACTTTGCTTTGGTTTCCTGTTTGCTCTAATCTTGGAAAAAAATCACCTATCTGTTTGTATACAGCAATTTTACATCTTGTATATAAACAGCAATTTCTGAGGCAATCACATACTTACAAGCAAGAAAACAATTGTCCCTTCCACTAGTTATTTAATGCAGTAATTAATAGGTATGCAAATAGGTCTAACAGAAAGATCAAGATTGATGTAACAGCTACTCTGGTCATCAAGGTATTAAAGGTTCATTAAAGGTTAGTTAAAGTAGTGAACAACAAATTGCTTTCTCATCCTTATGCAATTGGTAGAATAAGTGAAATGGAGATTAAAGTTTGCAGATTCCTTCAGCCTATTATTTTCCTTCCTTTCCCACTCAAGACCCACTGCCAATATTTCAATATTGTATTGAATGAATGCACTATTGCTGTATTCATAGAGCTCTACGATTTTGGCAAAATTATAAAATATAACACAATTTCTCAGAAATTTGAATTCCAAGACACATTAATCAAATGTAAGTAATTAAATATACATTTAAAAAAGCAATGAGGGAAGTAAACAGATTGAGGCAGTAGCAGATGGGAAGGAAAGTTTTAAGCATACTTTGCCCCTGCGGTCTCAGTGCCTCCCCCAACTGCTATTAATGTACATACAGAGGATGCCAAGAATTAGACAATATAGTTCCATTAATATCTCTAGACTTCCAACTTTACACGTACCATATTAATATATAGGTTTTCCCATATTAATTTGCCCTATTTAACAGTTTTGGAGTTGTTTATCAGTTATATACTTGTGCTATACTAAATGTTTATTTTTCTGATTTAATATTTAATTGTTCTTCCTCTATGAAAGTCCATATGTAAAAAACCCATAAAGATGACTGAACACATTTAATTATTGAAAATTTCCAGACATAAATTCAAGTCTTTATCTGCATCTTTCTAAACGTGTAGATTCTGATGATATTTTTCAATATTTTAACATAGTACCTGTAAATAATGTTTTTTTAAAAAAATAGCAAAGGCATACTGTGGTATCACTGTTATTATTCACAAATCTTTATATAACCATTTATGAAAATATTTGTCTTTCTCTAGCAGTAATATTAAAACAATTATAAAATATAGTATGTATACTAGAAAATGTAAAATACCTGTTGTTTCTCAAACCGGGATCTTTATCAAGGTCATAAACAAAGTGATCTTGAGAGATTCCTATAATACTGTCTACATTTTCATTTCTTTTCATAGTGATAACAGGGTAACCCATCTGGAGTGTCCACTGATCCATTACCTCTTCGATATTCACAAATTTCCCAATCTTCTTAAGTGCCTTAAAACAAACAAAAAATACAAAACTACTTTCTGAAATCATATTATTACTACATTGTCTCTTTTAGTAAAAGGATTCAGTGTATTCATTAATGTCTTCATGATTTTATCTGAAGCTTTTTATCTATGCAGATATATTAAGTTTCTTTAAATTCTATTTAAACCATCCAATTTAATATCACAATTATATCATCGTTTAGAAATACATTCTACTACGTTCAATGGGTTAGCGCTCAATGCTCTTAAACTACTTTTGACTCCAATCTACTTTGTCATTGGCTATGCTGATTGGGGCTGTTGGAAACTATAGTTCACCAACGTATGAAGCATATACCTTTCTCTATTTCTATTTCATGAAGACTTGGCTATTAATTTTAATTGCAAGATTAACTTTACATGAAAAGTTAAAACAGAACAACAATAGTGACAATTTTAGCCACCACTTTAGTTTTATATTAATATGTTAAACTCTAAGCAAAATCATCTTAACTACAAGGGTTGCAGACACAACTTTTAAGTTCAGTGAAAGCAGTTCAGTTCAGTTTTATTGAAAGAGCAAATGTTACAAAATATGAATTTCAAATTTTTTTTGCTGATTCCTTTACCTGGTTTACTCTGCTCTTTGGAGTTGATCCTCATTATTACAAAAATGCCATTTATTTAAAGAAATGACATCCCTCAATGGGACCCATGATTTTTATGTATGGTCCTATTGTGTGCGCCAACTCAGAAGAAGCCTATATGGAAATTACTTGGGTTTTCTTGGCCATGGTTCTATCACTGTAGCATTCTCTTTTTCTTTCAGTTCTATCTGCCAACTCTTAAGGTCTGAACACCTTAGAAACTTATTTTTTGCACCCTGACCTTTCTTCCATAGTATTTGACACTATTAATGGAGAAATGGACAGAAAAGATATTTCAAATCTACCAATTGTCCTTGTTCCAGTAGGCATTTGTCCTTTGCTTCAGTTTGATTGAATGGCACCTATAATATATAGTAGATTTCTATTGTTGGTTTTGTTAAAATATATTGTGTAGACTTTGCTGTACCCCACCAGAGTTTGGATTGGGAATACATTTAATTAATTTATGGAATTCATACTTTGTCTCAATCCAACTGAATTCTAGGCAGTTCTTCACTAAATAAAATACAACAACAATATTATCATACAAAATAGTAAATAAATAAAACTTACTTTCACTTTGATGGCTTTACAATCAGACCTAAAAATCACTCTGTAAAAGTCCAGTATGAATGCATTTTATGGCTTCTCAAGGGTTTCAGAGACGAAGTTGAGACATGCCTACAGAGAACTGATACATCTCCTGGAAGGTGGGACTCTGAACATGTGTTCTTAAACTAATTGGGCAGGTGGGCAGATTTTACCAGGATGAAATCAAACATCTCAGAGGTAATGTTCCTTCCAAGTCCACAAGACTTCCATGAAAGAGATCAATACAGTTTCTGTCCCATGCCTGAGTCTGAATCTGGAATTCTAGATCCAATTAATCGGTTTCCTCCAATAACTGTATTTTCTCCATAATATTCCCCAAGAGGATACGGTTGGAGAATGGATGACTTGTTCAGTTTTGCTATATGATAAGGCTTCTTGAAGAATCAGTAAAACAATACTGCTCTCAAGGTGCTGATTATATTCCTAATTTCCTCTCTGGCTGCTTTTATCTGCCAGATGAAACTGGGGTCCAATGCACAAATGGAAGGACTAGATCATAGAGAATCCTGTCCATTTGAAACTCCCATATCCTTCCAGATACTCCTAAAGGCATGATCTCTCTTGCTGTAATAGATTCTAATGCAGATTCCATTACTAATTTATCTTACGTCATTTAATACATGTGCTATAGGTTCTAGGTAAACTCCAATTTTCTGATTCTAATAAAATAATTTCTTTTAGGAGATGTCTAGCAGAAGAGCAAATCCTCCTCTTACAATATCCTTAACATGTGTTTAAAATCTGCATAAGAAGATTGGGGAATTGAAGAAGCAAATTGTGGGAAGGAGAAATCAGGAAAGAAAACTTTCCATGAGCTTCTGCAGCTTGTGTGACACTGCATTCTGCCGCTATGTTATCAATATTTCCAATTAATGGCCAAATTACTTCTGCATCTTCTGTGAACACTAAACCTGTAGATTGAACAAAGACTGCCTATTTTTCATGTTCTACATCTGAATCCATCACAGTTTCTAAAATCAATGACAGTTGTTTACCTCTGATTCTAAAGGCAAGGAGCAAGGAAATGTGCTAGCAAGATGAACAGATTTTTGAGGTCTAAAATTTTTAAGCCTCTAAGCCAAGTAACAAACATTAGCCCTCAAAATAAATTACATTTGTTGATGAAATATGTTTAATGGTTTTACCTCTGACAGTGTATTCCATAGGTCTTTCCTTGCAGCATTGCCATACTTGTGAATAGTTAAATAATCCTAAAAATACATACATACATAAATATATAGAATATATGCTGTATAACCTCTATACATTTTAGGCATACTTTTATAATATTTGTATTATATACTCATGCTTAGCGTAAATTTAGAACATTTTAAAGTTAGTTTTCAATATGTAATACCAACATTCCAAATTATTATTCTATAAATCATAGATACACAGACTGAGGATGCAGGCTCATTGTGGTCTTTGCAAACCTGAACTGCAGAGATCTGTAAATTTTGTTACTTCGCTATAATTTTTGATGTATTAGAAAAGGAAAATTATTAAATACATAATGAGTGTAGCTAGCATATTCAATTTTAAAGATAAACAAAATTAGTTTTGTCTGAGCTCTGTCCATTTCATATACTCCAAAGCTGAATATGGTCCTCAGCCCAGAAAAGTCTTACAATCCTGCTAATGAACTTTTATTTTCTTACATTCAAATACATTTTCCACTTTAATTTCCACTTTTTAATCTTTGCTTCTAGCAAATCTTACAACTGTCAGAAACATTTCCAAAAATAAGTATTACTTGTTATTTTAGCATATCATTCTATGACTACTGTTGAAAAGTACAGACATTGTTGATAGCTAGGTTTATTATTAAACATTGGCCTTATTTTTTTCAAACCAACATTTTCAATCTAATGCAAATATATCATTTCCCTTTTGGATTAAAGACTAAAGAAAGGCCATCAAATAACATTATACATATTTTAGATTGAAATTTTATTTTAAGACTCAAGCTTGATCAATTGTTACTACACAAGAGCTACACAAGAAAGTTTACAATGTAGTTATGTGGCTGTATCATTTTGATACCAATTTCCATTTATTTTACAGAGCTTTAATTCTCCCTGCCAATATAACCTAACAATATATTAGATTCTGAATTATTTAATTTAGCATTCTTGAGCATTGAGCAGAATATTTAATATTCCAGATGTTCTTGGGCTACAATTCCCCAAAACTCCAGCCAGAATGGCCAAAGTACAGGGACTGTAATTCAGTATAATTTGGAAATCCACATGTTCATTCCCCTACAAACAGAATTCTAAATTAAATCCCAAAAAAGTAATAACTTCAATTTACAATCAAAACCATTAAAATGCATTGCATTATGAAGTGGGAAACAGAATTCTTTTGAATCTGTTTATCACCTTTACTTCAGGTAAATGGCAAGTGATAAGCTATCATGTGCTGCAAAATAATAAAACTGAAGAAATGTTCTGATAATATTGTGTTCAATATTATGCTTGTTGCGAAGTAGGTGCTTCAGTAATTAGGTGATTGTAAAGCAGACTTTGTGATATACAAATTATAAACTGTTATGACAGCTTTAGCTTTAAATGTACCATCCTATTTTGTAAGCAGCAACATCCATACAAACACTGATCAGAAAAGCAATGTAGCGATATTGAGTCACTTATGTACAATGCAGCTTTAACAATATAATGAAAATAAATAGCATATATGTTCCTCCATAACACTGGCTTTCCCATTTATGTAACAATAACAAAACATGCAATTTGATATGTAATCAATAGCATCCAAAGCAGCAGTTTGGTTGCTTAATAAATCAAATTAAATTCCACAATATTTACATAAATTGGTCTTACATAAGATCAGCTATACTCCTTGTGTAATATCCATGGATGCTGATAATGCTGGCTTTGATTACAAGGAATACTTTTGATGGATTTTAAAAATAAATTTAAAAACCTTGAAATGCCATATAAATATTGTTTCATTAAGACCTGTGGTTGATAAAAGATGAGATCCTTGTAGAAACAGAATCTAAATCCATAATAAATCATTTTGAATCAAGTCCATAATAAATCATTTACCAAATTTATTTTATAATATACACTATATGCTGAAGGAGAGTGATTACAAATAAGATAACAGGATCTACGTTTGGAATTCAACAAGCTGAGTTATCAGTTGTCAGCTGCAATTTCCAATCCAGAAGAGAAAAGCACTATCCTATTTAGGACCAAATATGGAAGTACTTGATATTTGGCAGATCCAAATATTATAACTATTCAGTATTGTCAGGGTTGTGCCTAAGTCTCAACCATATACATTCCAGACATAAGGATAGCATCATTGACTTGCCAAGGGCTGAGATATATAACTTGTTATCATCAGCATATTGATTACACTGGACCACATTCTGCAACCTCTTGTAGTTGCTAGAAAGGAGGAACAGGAGTTTCAAGCTAGAGGTATATCTCATAGGATCTCGGGGGGGCCATCTGTACCCAATCGCAGAGGAGGACCAGAAAAACACCATGCCTCCCACTCCTAATCTCTGTAGGCAATCCAGAAAAATACCATTGAAAGGTCCAAAGACATCAAGAAGAACCAAGAGAGTTGCAATTCTGTTGCAATTTTTCCAAGGTTCATCAACAAGCACAACCAATGCTGCCTCACAACTATGACTTGTTCTGAAAGAAAATTTTATGTAAGTTAGGAAAGGAGTAGGAAAGAAACCTGGAAAGATAAAAAGAGAGAAAAACCTGTTTAGGTTTCAAAAAATTCAAAAATCCATTTGGAAAGGACTAGGGCCCATATGGAGCAAGCTCGGATTTTGAGATGAAATGTTAATTATGACATCACAGTGTTAAAGAGGTCATTTGAATCACAACTTAATCTTTTGCACATAAAGTCCTCCGGTCTCCACTGAGGATCCTTAGGGCAAGGGGTCCCTCCAAAGCATCAGCTAATCCTTAAACTGATCTTTAAAGACATTTCAGCAGCCATGTTTGCAGCTCTCTTCATTTTTTCCACTTGTTTTCAACAGTATATGTATTCTTGGTAAATGTCAAACAATTCTCATCCTGTGTCAAGTAATAATTTATGGGGGGAAATATTGCTATCGGAAAGAAATGAATTTTCCCGCCAATTTGGGACAGAGTATAATACCTCTCAGAGATTTATAAAGCTCTGTCTTAAAATCAAAGTGAGTTCTTATGCCGCCAATTTACTTCCATGATTAGTGTATTACTAGTGCTGGTAGAATCTTCAGCTTTAGATTTATATTTCCTTATTATACAAACAGTAGCTATGAAGCATACCTAACATTTTGTCTTTCAATGTAATGAATATTATTTAAAATTTTCGCTACAAATTCAGATTGGGTTTACTTTTGTTAAAATAATATACATATATGTATCACATGTTTGATTCTTAACTTTCAAAATCGGCAATTTTGTAGTAAAAATATGAACTGTTCAAAGGAAAATAATATAAGGATAGACGCATGTAGTATATCACAATACAAAACAACTATTCATGTAAGATTTTCTTCTACTTAATAGTTTCTAGGGCTAGGTGGCTCATTACACAATCTACTTCTAACAATAAGCAGCGTGAGAACTTAACAATTGTAAGAATGCCACCTCTTGCTTTAAGTATTGCTGGGCAATGTAGAATATTTTTTAAAAACAGCAAGTACTGTATACCTCTTCCCAAACATTTCATACAAATTGTCTTATTGCAGGAAAAAGTAAGCAAGGAAACTTAATGTATTTCTCAATTTACCCAAGCAGATATTATGTAGAACAGTACTGTACTTTTTATTATGATCTCTTATAAATTATTTTACCCTGTATTCGGCTATGCTTTTAAATGTTCTATATTGTTTTAAATATTTTACATTATATTTCACATTTTCTTATAGGAAGATGTTTGCAGTTTACAGAAATTGTAAATAGCAGTAGCAATTTAATGTAGCCTTTAATATAGACTCATGATGGTGAACCTATGGCATGCATGCCACAGGTGGCAATCAGAGGCCACTCTGATGGCACCTGAGCCCTATCTAAGCTCCACCAAGCATGCACTGCCAGCCAGCTGATTTTTGGATCTCTGCAAAACTTTATACAAGCCATTGATATACATCCAACAGGAACAGGGAGTACCTCACAGGAGCAGATAGAGGTAAATCCTAGAGAGGTAGGAAATGTATCACTGAACAATGGAGTTGAATGCTAGAGAGGAATAAAGCTGCATACAAGGCCGACATAACTTCTGTAATAGCATAAGCATGCACAGGGGGGTAGCGCGGGATGTGTGGTGCCCTCCCGAGACCCTTTTTGGGCCCCAGGAGGATTCAGGGTGGCCTGCTAGGGGTCATGGGGGGCCATGCACATTGTATTATGGGTGTGGCCATGCGCGCACAAACGCACCTTCGGCACATGAGGACAAAAAGTTTAGCCATCACTAATATAGACTCACAACAAAAACAACAGTTCTCAAAATAAAAGGTGATCAGCAATAAGGAACAAACCTTTCAAAATAGTTCTTGTTGGTTTAGTTCAAATTTAATAGTGCAGTGTTTTTCAACCACTGTGCCGCGGCACACTAGTGTGCCGTGGCATAGTGTAAGGTGTGCCGTGGGAAAAACACCTGCCTATCAGCATTCCCTCTAAGCTGCACGCGTGAGCGGCCGCGCAGGTAACAAAGAAACACCGCGCACAAGTTTCAAAGTGCAGCGCAGTGTTTTT